TAGGCCATGATACGATACATTTTTATTATTTTTATTTATTTATTTCGGTCACAGGTATATTTTGACATTAATTCATAAACAGTCATATTTAACATATACAGACCGAAAAGGTGCAGGCTGAAGCTTAAGCTTATTATGCCCTTTACCCTTTATTCCTTTGTCAGAGCTTCATCTTGACACCAGTTCATCTTCATAAAATACAGCAGGAAGAAACAAGCAAATCAGTAAACAGAACAACAAAGTTCTACAGCACAAACTAAGTCTCATGTTCCATGTATCTGTCCAGAGTTAAACATTTAAACTTCTTTATGAAGTGAAAGAAAGTGGTGCACAGTTTTTAGGTTTTCTGTACAGTTGTTCCAGAGCTCCACCCCTTTAACAGATTTACAAAATTTCATAATGTTTGTTCTGATTTCTTTTTAATAAACATGTGTCGTGCCTCTGAGCTCTCTTTCGGATTTTGAACATGTTCTGTAACGATTTCGACAGGAGATTGTTGTTTACTTTGAACATGATTTTAAGAGTGTACAGGTCGACTAAATATCTCGATACAGTGATGGCTGTGATAATACAAGTCTTTGTTAAACAACTTTTTGCGCAAAGTGAATATGAATTTTAGTCCTCAAAACAGTGAAAATGTCAAATGTGCTGCATCAACAAGTTTCCTTCCTCTAAACAAGCAACAAAATTGTATAATTTAGTAAAATATACCAAAAAATACTCTTGGTGATATATCGATACAGCAGCCCATGATATCAATACTGTATCATCACATTAAGCGATACGATATAGCGATATTTCAATATTTTTGCACACCTCTACAGAACAGAGAGAGGCATTTTTTAGTTTCAAACCAACTGGATTTCAGCAGAGAAACTGGCAACCCAAACGAGAGACACAAATGAGGCTCTTTCTGTTGTCTGATTGGATAATCGTCTTGGGAATTAAAACATCAAATTATAACATCAAGAGCTAGTCCATCATATCCAGTGTTTTTGTAATTCAGACTAAAACAGAATCACAGTCTTTATCCGTAAAAGCTGTTATTTGTTTGACCACGTTTACGTATCGAGGGACAGGGATTGCCCAAGTTTGTAAAATTTAAAATAAAAACATTACTGAAACAGAACTCTTAAGGGCATTTGGCTTCGCTTAATAATTGAATTCTAGCCCTGAATTGTTAATATACTGTGGTACGTATAAAAACAAATCATTAAACGGTGCTTTTGTTTCATCTGGATTTTTTTTGGCTCCTTTTCTTCGAAACAAAGAACAACGTGGGCACAGTGTCTTGCCTAAGGACACAAAACCACCCTCTAAAATATTACTATATACGCTTTCTCAGCTCTTTGTGGGAAAACGCCTGGAAGGAGAATTTTATAAGTCAAAATAGTTCTTAGAGGCTGCAGAATTTGCTAATAACCTTGTGCGATATGGTTTTAGCCGCAGTGGGTTGGGTGAATATTAAGGTAATGTGTTGTTTTTGAACAGTCTAATGAGATGTACCAGCTCGGACAATATAAAAGCAGAAAAACACAGGGATAAGTACCACATTTCCACATCAGAAGATCCATAAAAAAGCATGAAAATTACGCTGATAATGCACTCTACCTGACTAGAACAGCTTGCTCTGACTCTATCTCTTTCCTCAATAAATAGAAGTAGGAGGAAAACTGCAAACTACAGCAGGTTCCCCGGGATCAAAAGATGTATTTTAGTACGGAGATAGTAATACGTCTCCTACAGCTCCCATGTGTTCTTCACTGGTTTCATTTCATCAAGTCCTTGGTTTGGATTAATGGGTGTCAAGATGAGGATACAATAATTACATAAAAATTTACATTAAACTGGACTTGGAAACTTTCCTGGCGGGGTCTACAAACGTCCTTCTGTCCAAATTTTACAAGATTATAACAGCTTTGCCTTGAATATTTTACAGAATGGCAATAAACTATCTAAATCTATCATACAATTTTTCGATTGCGAGTGTTTATTGCTAAAAAATGCAATGAAACTGGTGGCGTCGCTTGCTTGTCTTCATGGAAATAAAGATGTTTGATGCTGCTCTACTGTGGAACATTTATGGGAAGGCAAAGTCTTCACAGAGACAAACAGAAGAGGCCCAAATTTTAATATTTTCCAAATTAAGCAACCCTAACTGTTGTGATAGCTTGTTGTCAGTACACACTTTCTTTCTGTACCATTATTTTTTATTTGACTTTTGCTTTTGGAGGGCATGATTGCAGAAACTAGTCACTAAATTCAAGGACATTCTGCATGTTTTAGTTCAGGGTATCCCCCAGGTTTGACGACTCCAAATTTAAGACTTTTTAAAGACCTTTTTAAGACCACTTAAATGAAAATTAAGACCAACATCGCACCCACTATGCAGGCAAAAAACACCAGATCCAATTCTAATAATGACCAACCAACTACAATACTATATTTAGAATCTAAGAGCCACTGTGGATTAAACCTACACTTCCTCATGATCCATCCAGTTCATCCAAGTATTGTTTGCGTATACTCCACTTTCACATTGTTTTGTTGTATATATTTTCTCCCTTCCATTTAACATTGACCGGTTGAGTATACAAAAAAATAGGCTAATGAAAGTTAAGACTTTTGTGAAAAAATAAGACTTGGACAAGATAATTTAAGACTTTTTAAGGCCTTAAAGGTTGTATGGAGGATTTTTTTTTTTTTTTTTTTTGTTTCAAATTGTCAATGATAGCAATATAGAGGTGCAGTAGCCTTGTAATTATGATGACCAAAAAAAAGAGAATAAAAATTCATCAACTCTGGACGTGGTGGGGCTAAACATTTGCCAATAGATAACGACACTGCCTCGTTATCTGTGAGCTGACAGGCTGTCAATCAAACTCCCTACGTTTCTAGCGTAACTGACTTGCCTGCGCGCCGCCGGTACGTGGTTTACGTACGACTGTCACGCAGTCCACAGACGCAAGACGCACAGACGCTGTTTACTCCACCAACGCAACAGTTCTTAGCGGCTTTTTTTGACCTATATCTTCCTCGCAGTTCGCACAAAGTTTATTGCAATGGCGACAAGAATCCAGGAGCAGTTCGCCGCAAAAGAAAGTCCGTTTTTGAGGTCGCTGAAAGAAGAAGACAAGGGGAAAAGCAGTGAAACCAAACTAAGGTGATTCTTGAAGATTCATTCCAGCGATGGCGCGACTGAAGCAGACGAAGGGTCTAAAGACTGACGCACTGGTCGCCACATTACTTCTGGACAGGTCACTTCTGCTTATTATGAAAACATACTTTATTTCCAAGAGTTAGACAAACGTTTTTCAGGACACGAATGCGATATCCTATGTCTGAAAACTTAATTTTCAAGGCAAAGAAAGAGTCCGCTTGCTGCTGCGTGTTGTAGTAGTAGCTAGTTCATTCGCACGGAATCTCTGCGCCCCCTTCTCTGCCCGTTCCACTCTTCTCCCTGCTCCTCACGGAATCTCCACGCACCGCTCCCCTCTCCTCTCCTCTCTCCTCTCTCCTCTCTCCCTGCTCCGTTCTTCTCCCTGCTCTCACTTCTCGTCCGCGCACGAAATATCCGCGCACTCCGCTCCCCCCGCTCCTCACTTCTCCGTCTTGCCTAACCAACACTGTAGTTAGTTGTTTACAAGTCATGTGCAGCACCGGCTGTAAACAAACCTGTTTCTGGCGTAAGGAGGAGGCGGGAGGAGGCGTTTCTACGTAGGAGCTGTAGGGGAGGGGGGTGGTTTCACGCATGTGCAACATTTGAAAAAGGACAAACAGTCGCTGGATTTCTCGTTCCTTGGAAAATCCTCTATACAACCTTTAATTTAGGAACATAAAATTTAAGACCTTTTTAAGACTTTTAAGACCCCACGGCTGCCCTGTAGTTTGATTTTGTAAGTTAATTTTACTTTCACCAAAGATCTGACCCATTGCAACGCCGCTGGGTGATATGAGCTTGAGCTTCATGGTAAATACAGGGTTCCCGCTCTTTTTCACTGACAAAACTTCTAAACTTTTGAATAACTTTTTCATATTTTGGCTTTTTAACATTCCAAATACTGTCAATGTGTTTACTGTTGTCTCTTTTAAACAAAAGGCGCAGACATTCGGAAATAATCATACCAGCCTAATGAGAACTTAACAAAACACTGTAGTTGCGTGAAAGAGATACTAAAATTCCATAACTTTTTGAAAACTTTCATTGAATTTACAAAGTTGCACATCTGTGGGAACCCTGTAAATAGTAAATTACCCTATAATTATTTATGTTATAAGTTGACAGGAAAAAAACAGCACAGCCCCAGACACAGACAAATCTCAACGAAGAACGCTCAAATATGGTGCCTCTTGTCACTTCTCCATCAAATGAATATCGTATTTTCTGGACTATAAGGTGCACTTAAAATCCATAAATTTTCTCAAAAATCGACAGTGCGCCTTATAATCTGGTACATATTAATTCTGGTTGTGCTTACTGACCTCGAACCGATTTTATGTAGGACACGGCACTCAAAAATCTGTCAGAATCAAAGTTTTTGGAGCGCTTACACTTTATTTAAATGAGCCATGTGGTTTTAACTTTCGTTTCTGTAAAATGTAAACAAATGTGCGCAAAGCTGCATTAAACACATTATTACTCCATTTATATTTGAGTACTCCATGTAGAAAAAAAAACTAAACTTAATCTTCCACCAACATTCAAATTTATAATACACTTTCACCAAGACAAGGCAACCCCGGGCGAATTACGCCACGATCTGCCAATGGATCGTGGACGCCTGGGCTAAGGGATCAGTCTCAAGTGTCGTCTGTTTGTTTTGCTTAATGTGCCTTAAATCTGATGCAACTTATGTATGAAAACAGACGAGAGAATTCAACATTATTGATATTGCGATTTATAATCAGGTGCACCTTATAGTCCAAAAAATACGGTAGACATTGTACATAATTCAAGGCAAAACTTCAAACCGCAGTGTACTCGCAGTGTAGATTCTTACCTTTCCAACATACTGTGCGTCTGGCCCCATGTGTTCTTCTAAAACAAAGAACTGGTTCCAGATCCAGCCTCGTTTGGGTCTATGGTGCACCTCCTTCTCATCGTTGGGCAGTTTGGTTTGGTTCTTAGCGGTCGGGACTTTAGCCGCGACATGATGGCTGGCCCCGCAGCACCTCTGGATAAAGCAGAGACACACCAAAACGGGGCAAAGGGAGGAGGAAGCCGGTATCCTCATGGCGAAGTTTGTAAAATCCCTTTATCGGAATTCGGATGGAACCTCCCACCAACTCCCATGCAATCTCCTCTTCAATAGCCACTGCTGCAAAACGTGATCCGACCAAAAAAATACGTTGTTTTTGTTTTTGTTTTTTAAATCCGCGTTGAGTCCAGCGAGTTTCGACGGTATCCAAACAGATTCATGGTTGGAGAAAAGTTGAAGAAAAGACTTTTATACTTTACATTATTCCCCCCAAAAAACGTCGAAGCTGCGTCGAGGAGTTCGGCTGAGTTTCACCAAAAGTTAATCCCGGAAGCCATTTTGGAATTCCTAAAAAGAGAAAGAACAGAAAGGGAGATTAGTATGATGGATATTAGCCGCTAAATGTCCGCTAATTCCTTCCAATTAAGTCGCAAGTGACAAATCCGCCAAGATGAAAACGTGCATGCGGTGGCGATAAGGTACAAAGGGATAACAAGGCATTTCAGAAGGCGTTTGGAGCGTTTGAAAAGGTCATTTAAAGGTTGCAGGTGCTTTTAAAGTGAATATAATAAGTTTTCATGTTTTTCTAATTGTGGCTCGGTTTGACAGGATCGTATCTGTGCTCAAAATGAACAGAGTTTTACATCAGTTAAAGGTGCATTGTGTAACTTTTAGGTTAGATATGTTATTGCATCATCTACCTTACATTTATTCAATTATAGATAATTTTAGAGCTCAAAAATATCAAAAAACAGGCGTTCTGACTGTGAGCGGGGTCGTTTCTCCATAGATCTGACCTGTAACTTGGTCTGGTTTGGTCTCCATGAAGATAGAAAGGTTTAATACCACACAGAAAAGTTACACAATGCAGATTTAAGTGGCAGTTTGTGGGAAAAAGTGCAAAAAACTAAAAAGTAGAGGTGAGTTCTAAAGTGGAATAACTATACGCAGTGTTGGGAAAGTGACTTTTAAAATGTATTCCCCTACAAATTACAGATTACATACCCCAAAATGTAGTTTGCAACGTAATCCATTAAGTTACTTAAGGTGAGTAACGTAATCTGAATACATTGGATTACTTGGTTTGCTGTAGAGAAGCAAAGACTAGGACATCTTCACATAGGATTTTTTGTCTGCTAAAAGACAATAAAAAGCCCAGACTTTACTTAACCGTATTAAAAATATTATTGATAGAAGAGAAGGAGACGCAGCATGATTTAGTCCTGGTTTAGTCCTGTTCAAGACATAGTTTAGACCTGGTTTTAGTCCTGGTTTAGTCTTGGTTTAGTCCTGGTTTAGACCTGGTTTGGAACTGGTTTGGACCTGCTTTAGTCCTGGTTTAGACCTGGTTTGGACCTGGGTTTAGTCCTGGTTTAATGTCCAGCAATGAGAGGAATTACTGGGGGGAAAAAAAAAAAAAGGATATAGCCCAAAATGTGAAAACAGGAAAATACCTCTGTGTAATCCATTTATTTCAACAAAGTAACTGTACTCTAATTACCACTCACTTAAACAGTAACTGTAACCGAATACAGTTACTCATAATTTGTACTCTGATTATGTAACTCTGGTACATATAATCTGTTACTCCCCAACATTGACTATACGTTTGTTATCAACACAGAAATCCAAAATCCAAAGACAATTTATTTATTTATTTATTATTTTTTTTTTGGGCAGTTTAAAGTTTAATTTAACAAAATAAAAGTGTTGTTGTCATTTACTTTTATTAGTGTAATTATAGCTTTTGTGTAATTTTAAGTTTTTGACCTTATTAACATCATGGTTGCTGGGAAACAGTTATGGAATTACGTTCACCCAAATGATAAAACTTAGATAAAACTAATAAATTTAAAAATAGGCAAGATCTTTTATAAAATAGTGATAGTATGTACAACTTTCTTTAGGTGGAAATTCACCTGCCTGGTTCCATGGAAATAGAAAGATAAAACCATACTTCAGAACGTTTTTTTTATGCAATCCTGAGTAGGCAAAGGGACAAGGTTTCCATGGAAACAAGCAGAAGATCCAATAAGAGTCAGGTTTGTGGAGATGCAAGCCGGCTTAGAGTAAGGATGGAGTTTTTTTTTTTTTTTTTTTTTTTTCTGTGTGTTTCAGCGCACTAAAAATGTCCATAATAATATATAGTTTTTAAAAGTTACAAAGTTACATCCGGGTGCTTTAACTAAGTTTTAGAAATGAGTAGCATAACCTGTCACTTTAAGGTTGAAACTGTCACACTGAGTAACAGATCGTGCCCCAAGGAGTCAGATTTGTGCAATAAAAGTGTCCGTCATAAAAAAAAAACAAAAAAAGTATATTTCTTGGCCATAAAGTTTCATACTTGGGGCTACTTTTTAGTGAAACGAGGAGTCTAAACTGTCACTTTAAAGTTAAAACTGTCATGCCGCGTAACAGATAATGCCCCAAGAAGTCAAAGGAGTACGAGACAAAGTGCAAATGGAGCTGGCGTTCATAAAATCTATGAGGGTGGAAAGTCACCTGCTTGATTCCATGGAAAGAGAAAGATGAAACCATTCTCCATGCAGATAGATACTTTTTATGCAATCCTGTATAAGCAAAGGGACAAAATTTCCATGAAAACAAGCAGAAGATTAAAAAAGAGTCAGGTTTGTGAAGATGCAAGCCCGCTCAGAGTAAGGATGGATGTTTTTCTGTGATTTTCAGCGCCATAAAAGCATCCATCATGAAAAAAAAAGTATATTTATTGGTCAAAAAGTTACATACAGGGACTTTAACTACTGTTTAGTGACATGATTGGATAAACTTGTCATGCTGAGTAACGTATAGTGCCCCAAGAAGTCAAAGGAGTACGAGACAAAGTGCAAATGGAGCTGGCGTTATAAAAAAATCTATGAGGGTGGAAAGTCACCAGCTTGATTCCATGGAAACAGAACAATAAAACCATATTTCGGAACATTCTGCATGGAGGTAGATACTTTTTTATGCAATCTTGAGTAGACAAAGGGACAAGATTTCCATGGAAACAAGCAGAAGACCCAAAAAGAGTCAGGTTTGTGAAGATGCAAGCCCGCTCAGAGTAAGGATGGATGTTTTTTCTGTGATTTTCAGCGCAATAAAAGCATCCATCATGAATAACAGTCTAAAAACAGTAAATTCTTGTGGCCAAAAAGTTACATACTGGGGCTTTAACTACTTTTTAGTGACATGAGTAGACTAACCTGTCATGTTGAGTAACGTATAGTGCCACAAGAAGTCAAAGGAGTACGAGACAAAGTGCAAATGGAGCTGGTGTTATAAAAAATCCATGAGGGTGGAAAGTCACCTGCTTGATTCCATGGAAACAGAACAATAAAACCACACTTCGGAACATTCTCCATGCAGATAGCTACTTTAAATGCAATTGTGATAAAGCAAAGGGACAAGATTTCCATGGAAACAAGCAGAAGATCCAAAAAGAATAAGGATGGATGTTTTTCTGTGATTTTCAGCGCCATAAAAGCATCCATCATGAAAAAAAAAAGTATATTTCTTGGTCAAAAAGTTTCATACTGGGACATAAACTACTTTTTAGTGAAACGAATAGTCTAACCTGTCATACGCACTTAAAAGTGTTACTCAGCGTGACAGTTTCAACAAATAGTGCCCCAAGAAGTCAAAGGAGAACAAGACAAAGTGCAAATGGAGTTAGAGTTCTTAAAATCTATGAGTGTGGAAAGTCGCCTGCTTGATTCCATGGAAAAAGAACAATAAAACCATACTGGAACATTCTCCGTGGAGACAGATACTTTTTTATGTAATCTTGTCTCGACAGAGGGACAAGATTTCCATGGAAACAAGCAGGAGATCTAATAAGAGTCAGGTTTGTGAAGATGCAAGTCTTGCTCAAAGTAAGGATGGAGGATTTCTCTATTTTTCAGTGTCCATAATGGAACAAAAAAAGTTACATATTGGGATTTTAACAAAGTTTTAGTGAAATGAGTAGTCTAACCCATTGTTTCCCAAAGACTGGATCGCAAGAGATTTTTTTGGGGTCGCCTTGTCACGATCTGCATGTAGGTCTGCAATGCTCCTCACTTTTTCAGCAGCACCGCCTTGCCTACCCAATTTTGATGACGGTTTTTCACTGTTAAAAAACTTGAGTACCGTATTTTTGGGACTATAAGGTGCACTTAAAATCCCTTAATTTTCTGAAAAATCTACAGTGCGCCTTATAATTCAACACGCCTTAATGTATTATTCATTCTGGTCGTGCTTACTTACGCGAACCAATTTTCACATATATTCCACTGAGTCATGTTCTTTAGTCCGACAGAAGCTGAAGGAGTGAGCTGTTTTTTTGTTTTTTTTTTTTAAATGATCGTTTCTAGTTTATGCAAATTAGTCATGTGGTTTTAAGTTTCGTTTCTGTAAAATGTAAACAAATGTGTGCAAAGATGGATTAAACACATTAATACTCAATCTATATTCGAGTCCTCCTCGTAGGAAAAAAAGTCTCAAGCCTCAAGTGTCATTCATTTGTTTGGCTTAATGCATGTTATAATCCAATGCGCCTTATAGTCTGAAAAATATGGTAATACTAATTGTTCAGCAGTGTTGGGAGTAACGCTTTATAAAAGTAACGAATTATTGCAATGCATTGCTTTTGCTGTAATGCAGTAATGTTCGGCATTACAGGGAAAAAATTGTAATATTTTACTCGGTACAGATGTCAGTATCGCGCGTTACAGTGCTTTTTTAACCTGGATTGAAGCGGTAGGTTTTTCGTATTTCTTCATACAAAGTCGCTAAAATTACCGTGATATCAGCAGCGGTGAAACGCCGGAGGTGCGCCCGCGTAGACCGTCTGGTGACCGAGAGTGAAAGGACTAAATGCAGCTGACGCCCAATCGCACTTGGGAGTTCTCTCAGGGACGGTCCTAGATGCCAAGTTCTAGTCCAAGATTAGACCTGGTTCGGTCCTGGTTCAGTCTTGGTTTAGACATGGTTTAGTTTTGGTTTAGTGTTGGTTTAGACCTGGTTTAGTCCTGATTCATTTCTGGTTTAGACCTGGT